AGAGCCCTGGAGCTGTCAACACCTAGCACCACTCTCCAGGAGCTGTGATGGCATCAAGGGTCCAGCAATCCTGTGAACGCCCCACCCTACAGACAACCCCATGTCACTCTCCTGGACCTCACATCAGGCCCCAACTCCCTGGAGCCCCCACACTCGACACTGCCGTCCCGAAATTGAAGACACTCACCTCCCATCTGATCTCCTAACTCCTCTCTCCAGGCTTCAATGATGAGAGAGAAGGTGCCCTGGTTGGGTGGAGAAAGGCAAGAGAGGAAAGAATGGAAGGCTGGTAAGGGCGAGTACTCGATGAATGCCAGAATTTAAGGGTGTTGACCATTCCGGGGACCAGACAGGCAAGGGATAGTTAGTTCCCAGAACTAGTCCAGGGAAGGAATAACAGTCTGGGTTTTCTTTATTGAGTATTTACCAAATGGTAAGCACTGTACTCAAGACACCTGGTTGAATCCCTCAAAAGGGACCCTTGTAAGGTACCATGATGACCTTATTGTACAGATGAGGAAACTGAGGCTAGACAAGGCAAAGTCACTTGCCCAAAAGAACAAGGTTCTAAAATTCAAATACAGGTTTGTTCACCTCTGTGATTTGGGGTTGTGGGATGGGAGAGAGGATGTTGGAAGTGAATGAGTCATCAATACAGACCCCAAATGGAAGCTCTGAGAAGGGATAATGTAAGAAGAGATTGGGGGTCCCCAAGATAGGGTATAGGAGGGTCCTTAGGTACAAGGAGATTTGGAGAGAAAGATAATAATCCCAGTATTTGGGGATTCACAGAACAGAAATAGAGTTCTGTGAATTTAGGATTTCCAGAAAGTGAGTTGAGGGTTCCAGGAATTAGGGCTCCAAAGAATGCAGGGTTGGGATCAGAGCGTTTGGGATCCCTAGAGAGCAAGGTGGAGTTAGAAAAGTTGGGGTCCCCAGTGGGTAGGGTTTATGGGTCTGAGAATGAGGAGGTACCAGGTGGTAGAGTTACTGGTCTGGGAATTTGGGATGGGGGCAGGGTTGGGGTCTTGGAAGTTAGAGGGCAGAAAGAGGTCAGGTTTGGGTAAGGCCCCCAGCACCGGGGTGTCCCGAGGTCGGGTCTCACCGGCCAGGCGTCCCGGAAGGGCACGCGCGTTAGGCCATCGGGCAGCGGCAGGTCAGGCGCCCCGGACTGCTCGGTGTAGACTGGCCCGCGCGCACTCAGCGCCGCGCCCAGGGCACACGGAGACTCAGCGGCCTCTTCGGAGACCCCTGGCTTCAGGCAGACCCTGAAGAACAGGCGGCAGGGGCCCCGGGCGCTGCAGGGAGACCGCGGGACCCCCGGACCGGGTCCAGGCCCAAAAGAGTGGATCTGCAGCTCGAAGACGCCCGCCAGCCGTGTCTGGGACAGAAGAGGCACAGGGTGAGAAGACCGCAGGGATCTAGGTGTCTCGTCCCCCCGGCGCCCCCTCCCCAAGACCTCCGGGTCGCACTCCCTCCCATCATCTCTTTCCACTCCGCTCTGACCTGGGGAAGGAAAAAGAGTGCCAGGATCACCGTCCGGGACAGGAGTTGGAGCATCCACGAGGCGACCATGGCCTTTCAGAGGTCTGGGGAGCCGCAGCTGCTGGCTCTGGAGCCTTATATTTGAGGGGACGGCTCCGCCTCTTCAGGCAGCCACCCGGCTCCAGGGGACCCTAGGGGAGGAGGTCGAGGGGAAGGGGAGTGTGCTGGAGCAACCGTGAGATTGTGTCGTGGGCACAGGCAGTGTATGTATGATCTTGTGTGTGGTTGGAGGTGCGATTGTGTGTGGCTACGTATGGGGTGAGGTTAGGGGGTTAAGCCTGTAGGTGAGGTTGTATATGATAAGATTCTGTGAGTGTGTGTGTGGTGTTGAGCAAGAGCTACTAGACAGTGTACGTCTAGTGATTTTGTGATTGTGTGTCTAGGTGAGATTATGTTATTGGCTCCACATGTGCCTCAAATTGTATACGGTTAAGCCAGTTTGTGAGGCTGTAAATAATTCTGATTCTGTGTGTGTGTGTGCACGCACACCTGCATAAGAGAATGGAGGTGTATGTGACGTCATGACTGTGACTTTGAGATTGTGAGCCTGTGTGCATGCTTCTCTGTACATGTGTAATAGCAGATAGATGTGTGATACTGGACCAATGTGTGTAGCCCTATGAACCTGTAACTTTGTGATCCGTGCAAGTGCCTTTAGGAAGCCGGGTGTGTGTTTGGGAAGTGGGTAGGGTCTGTACACGGTTGTGAATAACTGAGGGTGCCTGTGTGTGAAGGAGACTCGGTGTGGGAGGTCCATGGGTGTAGCTGTGTGTGGATATGATTAAGATCAGCGTTCTTTGTGGACGTGTGTGTGTGTGTGTGTGTGTGTGTGTGTGTTTTCCCCTCTCCAAGACAAAGCTACCCTCCCAAACCTGTATCATGGATGCACCAGACGCCAGGGCGAGGAGCCCCTCGCCTCGGAGGGGGTTCCCAGCTGTATGTAAATGTCGCCATCTGCCGGGCGGCGGCGCCCCTCCCCCTTTGGGCCGCAGCTGGGCTGCCCGTTTGGCCTCCGGAAGGTGTGAGGAGCAAATGGGCAGGAAATTCCGTCTTCACATATCAAGGGCCCGATCCCTCACTCCAGGATGGGGGGAGCGGGGGCACCCCTGGGGCCTCCAGAAGCCCCTTAGTATTCCAGGACCACGGCAAGGCAAGTCAGTTAGGAGCAGATGTTCCAGCCCTCTGGTCATAATCACTTTGTGCCAGGTGCTGAGCAAAGCCCTTTAGATGGAGTAAGCGTTTTCTCCCCCAGGATAAAAATTTTAATACTTACAGACTAATAACTATAGGGGAAAATACAAGTTCAATTTATATACATATTTTTCTTTTAGCGAAGATAGAGTGAACAATAAAGCACAGCCCAGCAGTCAGGCATACTGTGCTTAGTAATTTTTAATAAACGAGAGAATTCAATCTAGTTTTCTCTTAATCGTGAGGACTGGAGTCATGGGTTTTGAGCAGAGAGCCATGATCAAATTGTGCAGAACATCCCAGGTTCCTTTGCACAGGTTTTCCCTCTACTTGTTCTATTCTTTCCACTCCCTTCTCTATTTAATTGTTCTCACCAGACATCACCTCCTGTGGGAAGCCTTCCGTAACACTCCAAGCACTTCCTCTGAGTCCCACAGCCGTGATTCCTCTACCCCAGCCCTGACCACTCTGGCCTGTGGGGTCGTTCTAAGCACAAATTTGACCATGCCCCTCCCCTGCATAGGCTCGCCCATGGCTCCCCGATGCCTTTAAAATACACTTCAAAATTCTATTGACACTTGAGGCCCTCCTTCCACATTCCCCTTACTCAAACAGGTTCTGTGGCCCCAAAGCATGGAGCCAGACCTTGTAGACCAGTTACCAGGAGACAAATTAGGCCCTGTACTGAGGTAGGTGGAGTGAGCTTCCTATCACAGGAGACATTCAAATGGCATTTGGACAGCCATTAGAATCAGCTGTGGGAGAAGGCAAATTCCTGCCCTGGACAATTATGGGAGGGTAACAGATTCCAGGTCTGATATCTCAAAAAATTTGAAGATCGTAAAAATAGCCAGCCTTTATTGAGGGTCTGTGCCAGGCTTGATAGTGTTTCACATAAATTCTTTTACATGTGTGAAGTGCTTTAAGGGATTTCTAAGCATCTTTTTGGCTACTCAGGATTCTTCCTTATGTGCTGACCTTAGAGCCCACAGAAGGCCACGATGAGGTGACATGTGGGCAGACCTAGAGGGGAGGGAGTAAGCCCTATGGATCCTGGGAAAAAACATTCATGGCAGAGAGTAGCAAGTGCAAAGGCCCTGAGGTGACCATGCCTGGCACACTCAGATATCCCCACGGCTATCCTCATTTCATTCTGGTCTTGGCTCAAATACACCCTCCCGAGTCCTTCCCTGACTGTTCCATCCCATCCGAAACAGCACCCCAAGTCCCCAAACCACTCCAACTCCTTACCATACTTTTTCTTTATTCGTCTATTACCCTGAAAAATACCTGACCATTGTCTGTCTCCTCCATAAGAACATCAGCTCCATCAGGGCAGAGCTTTTTACCTGATTTGTTCACTGAAGCACCCTAGCGCCTAGAGGCCTGGCAGCCGGTGCCCAGGAGATACTGAATGAGGGAGGTACTATCATTAACCTCTTATGAGGAAACTGCGAAGCTTTGAGACCTTGCTCAGGGCCTCAGGGCTTGCGAGTGGTATGTGACCTGGGAATTCAGACCCTGTTGGGGTATGCCTTTATGCTGGCCCAGTCCTGCCCCTCACATGATGCCACGATGCAGCCCTAGGGCATTTTAGGAAAACATCTTAGGCCATGCATGTTAGCAATGTCACAATGTCACAGAGGCTGCCTGTGCAGTCAAACCCTCTCCTGCACTCTTGCAGGTGTGGCCTGACAGACAGCACCATCACTAAGCCAGCACCGAGGTGGGGGAAGAGGACTGGGGGAACACGCTGAGCACTGAAGCATGGGCCACCCAGAGTGCCAGAGCCTTACTCCCCAGGGGCCACTCTTGACCACTGGGGGACAGAGGCCAATGGATACATTTCCTCCTTTCATGCCCTGTGGGTGGACAGATCTGAGTCACATTTCAAAAGGCTCCTCAGCTGTGTAACCCATGTGGTAGGCAGGCACACAGTTGTGGTTCTCCCTCCATCCACAATTCACTCTCCCCAGGATCCCACTGTCTAAACACATAAGCCTCAATCTCCACCTTTGCTTTCAGTGAAGACAGTTTCCAATTCTCAAAGCTACATGCAAAAATACCCCCCAAAAAACAAATAACAGAAAAAAACCCTCAATGCTGCGGAGGTCCTCAAGCTAGGGAGTCCTGAGGACATCGGGAAACGGCATTATGTACAGTACACCTCGGGGTTGGGGGTGGGAGTGCAAATCTTAATCCTTCTTTGTAGACGTCTGTGAGCCTTTTTAAAAATCTAGAGTTCAGAGGTTCAATCTGGCCAATACAGATTCAAATACATTTTAATTATTATAGTAATCACCAGAGGTCTTTTTAAAACATTTAACTGGTACTAGCACTAACTGCTGGCTGGAGCAGAAGAGACTGGGAGAGGCAGGGGAGCAGCTACCAAACTGGTACAGGCTATTTCAATCTGCAAATAACCAGTATGGCCTGGTAACAAGCCCCCGGTGAATACCCATATGGGCCAAGTATGAACTGTCCTGTTTACGCTGCATGACCATTATACTAACATAGGTATACTACCATCACCTCCATTTTAGAAATGAGGAAACTGAGGCACCAAGATGCCTTGCCCAAGGTTCACAGTTACCATCTGAATGCCTCACTCAGCCCTCAAGCCTAGCCTGGGGCAGGTACTGTTCTTTTATAGATGCGGAAGCTAAGGCATTGAGGGTGACATAACTTGCTCCAAACCACACAGTCAGGAAGCTTGGATTTGAACTCGGACAGTCTGAAGCTCATCCTCTTAAGTCACATACAACTGTGCTGTCCAGTGTAGGAGTCAGGAACCACATGTGGCTATTTAAGTTAAAATTAATTAAAATAAAAAATTACATTCCTCAGTAACCCTAGCCACATTTCAAGTATTCAACAGCCTCCTGTGGCCACTGGACAGCGCAGACATAGAACGCGGAATAAACATGGCAGAAAGTCTCACCGCAGTGCTGCCACGCAATCTGCCTGTTTTGGTTAGAAGCCAACATTTAAAAATTGGGGGATTTAATATAAAAATCCCAATTGCTGGCTGGCTTTTACTGAAAAAAATCAGAATATCAAACAACACGACACCCCACCTTCCCATGGGGCCACAGCTGGCAGAGCTGCCCTCTTGAGATGAGGCAATCTCTTCCACCAGAGCCCACTGAGACCACGCTTCACATATTTACACAGCTGCCTGGCAGCTACCTGTCTTTAAAACCCCCAGTGCAGTCCTCTCTTCTCTTTTCCACAGATGGAGAATCTGCGGCCAGAGAGGGAGGTGCACTTTTTGCAGATGACACATCACTCGGGAAGACACGGCCAGAGCAGGGACCCACGTTTTCAGATTTCCAGGCCAGGGTTAAAAACCAACCCTGATTCCCCAAAGCACTTAAGTCTGTGCTTGGCAGCCAATCAGCCACTCGGACCTCACCCCGATGCCCCCATCTGGAGACTCTCCGGACACAGCAGTATGGCGTCTGGGATGGATTTTATTGGACAAATGGCTGCCCAAGCCGTGGTATGGAAGCACTGCGGCCTGGGGCCTGGGACCCAAGCACTCAGTTTGAGGAGGCCCAGAGTCAGGGCTGTTTGGAGCGAGGCCACAAGCGGCTGGTGAGAGAGCTGAAGAAGAGGTTCTGCTTGCTGGATTTGGAGAGTTCGGCCAGGCGCTGCTGCTCCTCCTAGGGTCCGGGGACAGATGGAGGGGGGGGAGGGTCAGCTGGGATGGGCAGAGCCTCCTCCCAGAATTCCAGGTCCCCAGCCCTCAGCCCATGCATGGGCCATCTTCTTAACCCTCTGCACAGCCCAGACCCCTTTCCCCAAACCCCCAGGACACCAGCCAAGACACAAAAGGAGCCCAGACCCCAGGGATCCAGCCCAGACACTGACAGGAGCCAGCTCTGAGCCACAGCGGCCCAGACTCAAATCCCATTATGGCCATGACCCCCTCCCCCAGATCCCAGAGGTTCCCTCCCCTTAACCCTGGTAACCTATCTACTCCAACCTGGAGGCTGTGGAGACCCCCAAGCCCTTCAACAGACTGCATCGTCCTGTTCTCTGAGCCCCCAGTGCCCAGCCCTGAGCCCTATGACTATCAGGATGCTGGGGGATCCAAGGCCCAAATCTCCAAGGACTCCTGCACGGGCACTCAGGAGCTCCAGCCCGACCCCAGAAACCCAAGCTAGAACCCAACCTCAGCCTAGATCCCTGGGAATCTCTCCCAGACTCAATCCACACTCAGCCCCACTTCCAAATCACCAGGATCACACCAGAACTCCTTCCCCAGACCCTTGGGCCAAGTGTCCATGGATCCCTCTTCTCAGACCTGATCCAACCCACGGTCCACAAAAAACTGGGGCCCGCAGATCTGCTAGAGACCATCAAGGACGACCCCTCTTCCAGACCTAACCCAAATGCTTGGTGTTTCCTGCCTCCTTTTCTCAGAGCAGCCCACCCCTCATTACAAGAGCCCCGGGGGACAGGGGTTGTGAAGAGAAGGTATTTGCTCCAGGTCACACAGCCAGAGCTGAGCCAGGCTGCTCCAGGGAACTGCTACGATGTCCATGCCGCCCCACCCCCACCCCCGCCCCGCCGTGGGGACCTGAGTACCCACCTGCTCTAGCCGGCTTTGCCGCTGTTTGAAGGCCTCCAGCGGGTCGTCCTCCAGGGCATAGTGCTCCAGCACGGTCCGGACATCCTCCACACCATTCAGTGCAATGGCTGCGGACACAGCAGGTGGGGGTCAGCCACGCTGAAGGCCAGAGCCAGGAGGAGCTCACAAGGGTAAAGGTCAGCCACTGGGGAGGGTGAGTGATACCTGGAATGCTTCTCAACACTCTAACAGGGCTCCCGTGACCATGCTCGAGGAGCACCCCAAACATTCTAAGAAGCTTCTAAAGACTGCAAGAGGCCTTAAAAATCCCAGGGCAGTGGACCTACTCTATCTCAAGTACCCAGGTGTACATGAAAAAAAAGTCAAAATCAAGAATCTAGCATTCCTCTTAAGGGTCAAGGGCTCTGGGGTCAGAGGTCAGGTCAGGGGTCAGCCTCACTCTTGAGGAAGGCAGACAGGTCCAACAAGACCCGGTCATCAGAGTTGCCGTCCCAGGGTCGCAGGGCAACGCCATTGTAGGGCTGTAGGCGGAAGGCTTCCTTCTTGCAGTCCACGACTACTACACGGGCCGGGTCCCGATTGAGACATGAAATGTCCTGGAAGTGGGTGATAGGTGAGAGAGGGAGACAAACAGGCTCACAGACAGCACCACACACTAGGATCACCATGACAGGGCCTCCCAAAGACCAGGCTGGGATGCTGGGATGATGGCATCACCGCCCCCCCACGCCCCGGGGAGTTGGGGAGCTAGTCACATAGATTCCTAGACTTAGGGCCTGGCACACAGACAGACTAACTTGGAGGTTCCCTGGGGAGAGGCCAGGCACTTGTGTGTTCAACCACTGCCCCAGATGATTGTGACAGTTGCAAGCTTGTGAACCTCTCACCCAAATAAAGAGGTACAGACAGATCTACGGCCACACAGGAAGTCACTCAAAGACAGGTACCCAGACATAGACCCTTTAAAACCCTCAATCACAGCCCATGTCCCTCTGAACCCTGAACTATGCAGACTCACCAAGACAGTCAGAAACCCAACAGACAACTATACACATGGACACTTGGAACCAGACCCACAAAGAGACCCATTCACAGACTCACAGACTCCTGGATACATTGCTGGTGACAGCAATAGATCCAGGTCAAACACACCCCAACAGTCTCATATAAGCTACAATTGCACTCAGTTCCAGGCAGAGAGACAAAAACAGCTTCCAAACCTTATGTCCCTACCCCTTATTCCCAAGTGTCTTCTTTAGGGGGACCCCTTTTCCCCCACTCCCACTGCCAGATTCTGGGGAAGGGAGAAAGGCCTAGAGGCCCAGCCCAGACTATGGACAGGCTGGTGTCCCGCCCGAATCAGACCTGGGGTAGAACCAAAAGCACGGGTGAGGCTGGGCCCTCTTTCTCTCAGGAAGTGCCAGCCCCCCTTGCCAAATCCCATGGCCCCCACAAGACACCTTAACATGATGTCCATCCATGTATCGCGTAGCATCCCGGAAGAGGCGGTAGGAGATGAAGCCGTGAGGGTCCACGCTGTCAATGAGTGGAAATGCAGTCTGGGGGGAGAACAAGGTCAGGTTGAGCCCTAGCTCTGCAGCTATCCTGCATCTCCCCGCACGTCAGCCTCCCCTCCCCTGCCCCAGGGCTTTACCATGCCAGTCTCTGACGTAAAGATGACGATTTCATACAAGGGGGCAAGCTGCTGGAATAAGGTCTCGATGCCTGGACGCTTCTTAAACCTCCAGCCAGTGGCCAGCTGGTGAGGCAGTGAAAACAGTGAAACACCGGAACCCAGAGATCCCCAGAGAACAAACCCGCCAAGAGAACAAAGACCCAGCCTGAGGGACTTCCAGAACCAGAGTGCTCTCCCTCTGTCTTTGTGGCTCTTGGGGGCGGGGAGGAGGTTCAGGAGTACATGGCTATGACTGAGGGCCTGGGTCCCAGAATAACAGCCGGCTCCTCTATAGCACTTACTGTGTGCCAACCTACGCGGTGGGGAGTCTCACACAGTTGAGAGGGAGGCAATGAGTGACACCTCCTTCCCAAGATCACACAGCGGAGCCGGGGCTGAATCCCAGCCTGCCTCCAGAGTCTCTGCTCCTAACCACAGAATCCAGTCACCCATGTCTACCCAGTGTCCCCAACCCGCTGCCTTCCCCAGGACACACCGACCACTCAGGGTGCAAGAGGACACCGGTGAGCTCCAAGACCAGTGTGTAGGGCGGCTGGTAGTATGGCTCCCGCAGAGGGTCCGGGAGAAGGCAGGGGCTCGTAGGCTCGATGATCATCTGTGGGAGAGGGTCAGAATGGGGGCACTCAGACAAGGAGACAAGGAGCTGGGGAAGGAGGCGTGGGGACTGGGGCTCCTGCTCACCTGTCTATAATCTTTGAAATATTTGTATGTTCGGCGCAACTGCTGTACCAGAATTGGATCTAGGAGAACAGGCACAAAGGGATTCCAACATAAGCCGCTGCTCAACCTCCAGACAAACCAGAGCTTTACTTATCTACCAGATACAAACAGGTGTATACACCCACCTAGTTTGAACCAGTTCACTTTTAAGTCCAAAGGTAGAAGGCAATGACATAACCACCAGACAGGAAGCAATATATTTATTCACCTGCCCCGTTTTAAGTTGAATACTTCTATCCACACACCACCCCAGGTATAAAATAGAATGTTTATACATCTGCTTACTTAAAGCCCACATACATATAACTCTGCTGACACGATACCGGTATATTTAGTCCAATTTGAACCACTAAGCATCCAGATCTGTACACTGTAAGCTGGCATGCTGAGTCTAGTTAAACCTGATGAACATATACACACCTGTGTGCTTTAAACCAGTGTTTCTCAACTAGGAGCAATCTTGTCCCCACCTTCCTAGGAAATTTGGTAATTATCAGGATACTAGCAACTAGTGGGTTGAGGCTCAAGATGCTGCTAAACATCCTGCAATGCATAGGACACACCCCCACAACAAAAAGTTATCTGGTCTAAAGTATCAATAGGGCCAAGATTGAAATATCCTGGTTTAAAGGAATATAGTGAATCCAGTTTAAAGCAGGAAACTTATATGACTGCCTACTTCAATACAGTATTTTAGTTTTAAAAATCAAAACATTCAAACTAATTAAGCTAGTAAACACACACAGTTTAAAACTACATGTTTACCTGCCCAGTTTAAATCAGTATACTGATTTGTTTAATCCAGTATGATTATGTATCTGCCCGGTTAAAATATCACATCTGCCCAGTTTAAAACAATCAATGTATTAACACGCCGGTTTGCAAACTTCCCCAGTACACACAGGTGGCTTTCTGGTCCTACCAATTTTATTTTTCTCCAGGGAAGAGCCAGGTGTGACAGAACTGACAACTACTCTCTACTATCCAATTTGTCAGAAACTCCCCACCAAAAGTTGGTTAACTAAAAGCGGGAGGGAGGAAGGAGGCATTGTGTTGGAAATGAGGAGCTGGATGGGGTGGGGGGGTGGGGAAAGCTGTCATACAGAGGAAGGGGTTAGGGGCTGCAGATGCTCAGATCTAAGGCACAGGCAGCCATGTGTCTGGCGATAGACAGCCCCTTCTCCCCAAGCACTCCCACTCCAGACTCCCCTCCCCCATCTGTCTCTGACCATCTGCTCCTGGGCTGAGAGGCCAGGGAAAGGGACTGGGGCTTTGTAATGCCCCTCCCCCCAAAGCCATCCAGCTGCTGACTCTCCCTCCCCCCCTCCCCCCCGTGGAAGGCGGAGGGACTGGGGGGGGGCACCAGATGGGGAGGGTAACATCCACCCCTACAAATAACAGAACAGGGAGGGTCAGGGGACCCCACAATCTATGCTTGTTGACTCACCATTGTCAAATTCATCAGGAATCTAGGAGGTAGAGAGAAAAATGGAAGGTTTGGAATGGCAAGGGCAAAATCCCATCACACCCAGAAAAGGAATCTCCAGGAACCTGGGAGGAGTAGGCAAAGGTCCCTGGGAGGGAGAGCACCCACAGGATGGGACCCCTGGCAAGGCTTCTAGGTCTCTTTCCCCCTCACCTTGGCACCAGTTTCATCCACAGAGTTGTTTCCTGCAAGGAAGACAGGGATGAATGAGAGGAATTGGGACCCGGTCTCCTGGGTCTTGAGGAAAGAAGAGCAGGGGGTCTGGACTCCTGAGTCTAAGGGAAGAGGGCTAGAGGCATGGTCTCCTAAGACTGAGAGAAGAGGGGGCTGGTAGCCAGGATCCCTGGGTCTTTGAGAGAACAGGGGCTGGGGCTGGGTCTCCTGAGTCTCTGTGGGATAAAGGGAATAGAGGGAGAGCTGGAGCTTTGGGTGCAGAGGGAAGTGGCAGCTTGGAGGCTGGTCCAGGCCTATCCTTCCCCATCTTCTCCCCACCAATTGATTCCCTATAGCCTAGTGCAGGACCCAGTTAGAAAGAATGTACCCTTGAGCAGAGGTGGTAGAAGGGAGAAGGAGATGTCCCCCTTTCTGAGACAGATGTTGTAGTTGACTGCCCTATTGTGGGAGGAGCCAGGGACTGAAGATGGGTGAAGCCCTTAGGCAAAAGAGGGGGAGATTCTGCAGTATAATATTGAGCCAACAGAACAAAACTGGGGGCCAGAGATATGTCCCTCACCGAAGATATAGACGACACTCACGGTCCCACCGGCCCCAAGCAGCCCCGCAAGCCAGAGTGCAACTTTTTTGGCGTAACTGGGACCCTCTGTGCCCCGCTGCTGCTGTGACCCCTGGGTCTGGGCCTTACTGCTGGCACGGCTCCCAATCTCCTGGGCCTGTAATTGAGAAGGAGTAGGTTAGCCAAGTGAAAAGAGAAAGGTCAGGGTGGTTCGGGTACCCTGAATGCAAAAGAATCAAGATCGGGAGTCAGGAAGCAGACACCCACATAGTCTCAGGGGTTGTATCCCTGGAGATTGATTGGGTCTCTCATAAAGGTCAAAAATTAAGACTGTCTGGAGCCAGGATCCCAAGAATTCAATAGTTGACAGGCCCAGTGCCCCAGGGTCCTGGAGGCAAATACTGGGGAACCTGAACCCCAGAAAAGCAGGGGAGGGAAATAAGATCAGGGAGCCTGGCTGTACATTGGAGTGCAAGGTAATGGAGGACACAAGAGGGGACAGAATGGAGACTTGAGGCACCCGATGTCTGGGGCTCAGGGTATAGACGGGAAGAGATGGGAGCCAGGGTGGAGGGACAATCGCTTGTCTGGGGCTTGGGGAAGTAGGGCACAGAAGTGATGGACTTGGAGGTCAGAAAGGGTGGTTCTCTGTCAACATGGAGGCAGGTCGAATCAAAAGCCCAAACGTCAAACTCACCACCACCACAACCACCATCACCGGGAAAATACTCCCAAGGCCAGGCTGGGACCCCAGAGTCCTGAGTCCCTCCCCCTCAAGTTATTACCTGAACGGTCACTGAGATGGGAAACAGGTGACCCCCTCCCCTGGCACCCACGTGGTTTCCAAAGGAGGTGGAGTCCAGAGGACGTACTTGAGCCCCCAGCATCTAGCCCGGGTGAGCAAGCGTTGCCCACCCCGGAAGGCAGGGAAGCGCCCCGCAACACGGGAAACGCTCCATTCAGCACCCTAAGGTGCTGCGTCCCAGAACTCCCGGGCAGCAGCGGTCCGCCCGGAACTCCGGGAAGGGGCCCACGCAGCCGGGACCCACCCGCGTCCTTCTCACCTGGTCGGAGGCCCGAGGGGGCGGCGTCGCCAGCCTTGCGCACAACCCTCGCGCGCCGAGCCGGAGTCCGCTCCGCAAGCGCAAGACCAGCGCCACCGAGGCCGCCATCTTGCGCTGACGCCACGCGGCCCCGCCTACTCGCCCCTCTCCCGCCCCGGCCTGGGGCTGCGGCCAATGGGGATGCAGGGGCGGGGCGGGCGGACGGAAGCCCGAGAGAGTCAAAGGGCTGCGGGCAGAGAGCCGCGGGCGTGCTCCTCTCTCGGCCCTCTGGCTGGCGACTGTGCGCCAACTGGGAATCCGCCGGCACCACGCCCCTCTCTGGCCTTAGGGCGCACCAAGCCCCAGCAACAGCACGGCTCCAATCAGCTCTACCTGATCAGAGGTAGAGCTGAGGCCATAATGAAGGAACCCAAGGGCTGCCTGATTTGTCCTAAAAGCGAAAACCTCGTTCGCCCCTGAGGGGGTCAGCCCAGGAAGCAGGCTGAAAGCCAGCCCTCACAAACTCTCGCTTTCTCACGTGGAGCCTGGAGGCCCATCTGTCCTCTCTCCTGTTCTCCGAACCCTTTCTTGCCCCACCTCCCATGACCATTTTCTAAACGGACTTGAAAGCTAACGGTTTCCTGGGGATCAGCCAAAGAACAATGGCAGTGTCTGGCGGGGCCCGGCGTGTTGAGAAACGGAAATCAAGGAATCAGAGGCCAATGGTAGCCACGATGGATCTCCCTCAAATTAATGAGGGAGAAAAACGTCTGAATAGTGTTTAGGTAAACTTTAAAAACATGTAAAAACGAGCATATAACATTTAGGGATAAAAACTAAGGTAATAAAAGTACATGAAATTCAGGGTTGTGGATACCTCTGGAGGGGAGTGGACAGGGGGTGCTGCTAAAGTGGGTACATATTGTTTCCTAAGCTGGGTGTTCCTGGTATATCTTTTTGAACATCTGAAATATTTTACATTACATTTGTATAAACACATGTGAATATCAAATGAGGAAGGTGAAGGAAGGTCAAGGTAAGCCCCAGTCTCTACACTGCTCCCCATCCCCACCCACTCCCAAACCATCAAACAAGCTACAGTAATTTTGGTGTCACTACTACGTGGGATCAAGAGAAAGGACCATTAAATACTGCATCCGGCACCACAGGAGGAACTTAGGTTTTCTGGGGGATATTGACTGATTTTTCACATAACTCAAGCATGAGAAAGATGTAAGTTCAAACACACACACACACACACACACACACACACACACACACACACACACACACACACACACACACNCACACACACACACACACACACACACACACACACACACACACACACGAGACTTTTGACCAAACAGCTTTTTATTCAAAGACTGTAACATAAAAGCAAGCTGGGGAAGGGAGGATACAAGAAGATGGGAACCCTCCCCCAGACTCTATTCTGATTCCCATGAACATCAGGGAGGAAAACAGGAACCCAGAAAGGAAAAGAAACATTGAACAACCCAGGCAAGCTAGCCCTGCTCCAGGCCTGGATACTGTGTCAGAGCCAAGGGCCAGGGAAGTAAAGAGGGACACTATCTGCCAGATATCTGCCAAAGTCCATGTGCCCGGCCTGCCTCAGGCCTCCAGGAGCTTCCCCAGGAAGCGGAGGTTGAGAATCTTGAGCTGTTCGTCAAGGTCCATGCGGACGATGCCGTCCTCACCATCGATGCTCAGCAGAACACCTGTGGCTTCCCGATCCTCACCCAGGATCACCTTCACCTGGGGACGGAGCATGAGGTCAGGGTTCATGTTAGCAGTCCAAAGCCCCCACAGCTCCTTGCCCTTCCTTACCTTGTTGTTCTTGGTGGGGGTGATGGGCTCCAGGTGCTCACTGGAGATGCTGACAACCTTCTCACTGTCCTTCAGGTACACGGAGCACATGCCTCCCTGTGAGTGGGGACAGCCTGGTCAGCCTCGTCTGCTCCCACCACAGGACTGATGCTCATACTTAGGGGGCACAGGCTTAGGGCTCATTCTAAGAAGTCACTTTCCCAAGGTGACACACAGGAAAGGCCAAGGCTGAGCCTGGTTCCAAGGCCTGGAGTCTGTGGTGTGTGGGGGCAGGGTGACCAGCTCAGCAAGGGAAACACCAGAATGAAGCTAGCTTAGGCCAAAAGGAAGACTGCTTCTCAGGCACTTGACTCTTTGTGTCTCAAACTGGCTTCAGCTTCTTCCCCACACTTGCTCCTCCTCCTGGGCCCGTTTCAGGTATGGCCCAATGGTCCCAAGGTCCCAGCCAGAGCTCTGGACCTTGTCTTGGTCAGCTCCTTCACTGACAACCTCCAGCTCTGAGGCCTGACCATTCAACCTCTTGAGGGCCTCTCCCACCTTCCTCCTTCCCTTCTCTTCCCCAGGCCCAGTAGTACAGACTGATCTCCACCAGGCTCCCAGCCCCCAGTCTCACCACCTCTAATCCATCCCTAATAGAGCAACATAGTGAATTAATTCCAAACCACAGAAGTGATCCCTACTTAGATTCCTCCATGACCTCCCAGTGCCCTCAGGACACAGTCATTTCCCAGGCTGGCATGTGACCTGGCCCCAGCCACTTCTCTGACCTCATCACCTTCGATCTTGGTTATTAATATTCTAGCCACAATGAATATACGTCAACCCTCCAGATGTGCCAGGCTTTCCCTCACCTCTAGGCATTTGCAAGTCCCCTCTATCTGCAACACACTTAACTCCTTCCCTAGCCATTTCCCTCGGCTTACTCCTATTCATTCTTCAGGTCTCGATGCCGATGTCTCCTCCAGAAAGCCCTGCCTGATCCCCTCCAAAGTTGGGTAAGGTGGCTTCTCTGGGTTTGTATGGCTCTCCTTGCCCTCTGGGCTTCCTGCATGCCAGATCGGGCTACTCAAGCTGCCACTGTCTTGGGAAATGTATGGGGACACTGTCAGAGGACATGTCCCACTGGAATTTGAAATCTGTGAGGGCAGAGCCTGGAGCTGTCTTGGTCTCTGAGGTTTGTTTAATTAATTCAAATATTTACTTGGAGAGCCACCAAGGTACCAGTCCTTCATTCAGAAAAGACTACTTAGGGATAAAACAAGCTTATAATCAAATAATCACACCAGGGTAAACTTTAAGCTTTTAGGCAGAGATAGATAACATGAAAAAGAATTACATGGACCTATAAGAGACAGATCTGAAATAGCCTAGGTGCTTCCCTGAAGGATGAGTAGGAGTTAACTAGACAAAAAATGGAAGGAAGGAAGTTCTAGACAGAGGAAGTGATGAGCAAAGGCCCTGAGACTGGAGGGAACTCAGTGCCTAAAAAATGGAGAGGCCAATAGTGCTGGAGTAGGGAGAGCCCAGGGGCTGTGTGGGTGCCCCACGCTAAGCCGAAGCCTGGCACAGTCCATGTTACTGAACTCATCTCAGAGGAGTATGTCACAAGGTAAATCACACTCCTGGGTGCCAGTCACTGTTCCAGGCAGCTGGGACCCAGGCCTGCGCACAATAGGCAAATCTCAGCTTTGTGGAGTTTGCATGCCAAACCTTTCCACATCTCTTTTTCCAGCTACAAACGCACTAGAAGATGTGGTTAGATAGTTAAAAAGAAAAACAGCAGCAGTAACCACAGAGACTGGGGATCCCAAAGGAGAGGATGCTTGCCCACCCACCAACCTGAGCCCCGCTTACCGTGACACTGCGGATGACACCTGTCTGCCCCACCACCTGCGTATCCAGGTAGGTGTCCCGCACCTTCACCTGGATGTCAGTGGTTACCCAGTCGCTAGAGTTCTGCTCAATGCCTGAGCCTGGTGTGTGTGGGTTGTAGCCACCAGGGGAGGGAGCTCCAGGTGTCATCGGACTGTAGCCAACAGGGCTTGGGCTGGGGCTGGCCTGTAGGGGAAAGAGTTGGGAATAGGTCATCTGGCCTGGCTGTCCTTATAGGCCCGAGGCCCACCCTAGCCCACCACCCTCAAGGGCATGCCAACTGGCCAGCACCTGATAGGCCATGGGCGAGGGTGTGGGGTGGTAGCTGGCCGGAGAGTGGGTGTTCTGGTAGCTGGCTGGGCTTGGCGCCACCTGGTGGTAGCTCTGGGGGCTGGGGCTGGGTTGGTAGGAGCCTTGCGGAGAGGGGGCTGCATAGGGGGAGAACTGGTCTGTGTTGTACCTGCAGAGACAAGAAGCAAGGCAGGCACTTGTTGAGGGTGGCCAGGAAGAGGAGGTGGTGGCATTGGGGAGGGTTTGGGCAGGGGCTGATTAGGGCCAGCCCCAGTGGACTCACATGGCTGGCGTCCCTGGCGTCTGTGGGTTGTACTGTGGGTTGACCTGTGGGGACGAGGGGTCTGGGTAGCCAGGTGTTTGAGGATTGGGGGTACCCCCGTAGGCCTGTGGGGATGGGGTGGGCTCATCATCAAAGGCATACTCGTATTCTTCCTCAGCCCTGTTGGGGAAAGAAGTCTGGTTGAGAATGACTGTGGTGATCACGATGTAGGAAATGCTTCCAGAACAGCACTGCAGCCAGGCAAACCGAGGCAACTTCATCCTCACAACAGCCCCATCCAGAGGCCTCCATTTCACAGCTGAGGAGACTGCGAGGCAGAGATGAGGTTGCTGGTGCACGGTGACACAACCTGTCACATGACCAAGGTCACACACTCTGTTTCCAGGCCCAGGTTTTAACCACAGCATGCTACTGTGGTCAGACTGGAGAGATAATTTTGCCCCCAGCCACACTACTCCTTCACAGACCAGCCTGGGACTGGGAGCAGAGAATTCAGGGTGCACTATACAGACCTCTCCACTCCCCCATGCACCCAGCGTAACAACTCACACAAGGCACACACCCACGATGGCTCAGGGAACTCTGCGCATCCCCCAACTCCTGGTCCTTACCGTGATGGCGTGTTAGGGTTGTTAGGGTCCCAGGCCCCACTCTGGGCAGGAGTGCGGCTGCCGTCATGCAGGGGCGTCTGCGAGCCATAATGCGGGGTGCGGCTACCTGGAATGGAGATGCGTGTGTCCGTCAGTTCTGTCCTGTCTCCAGTCCCCCACATCACCCCTCCTCCCTATCCTCTGGGAAGCACTCACCATCCTGGAGAGGTGTCTGAGAGCCATACATGGGTGTGCGGGAGCCAGAGCCATACATAGGCGTC